TTTTTTTTTTTTTTTTTTTTTAATGTTGCCTTTTCTTTCTGTGTTCGAGGACTTCTGATTTGTTGTCAGAGATTTTATCAGTTTGGGAGAAATAGGGGCCCATTCCAGTTTCCTTTTTCTCTTTTATTTTGTGTTTTACTCTGTTTATCCCATCTCCTTATTTTCCACTCACTGGCCCGTCATTTATTTCATTGTACTTCTCACTCCTTTGTACGTGTTTTTTCCTGACAGTTCAGTTGCTTCTCCTTACTGCTGCATTGATGTGTGGGACTGAAAGGGCTTAGCTGAATATAGCACCTTACACAGAAAAGAGCACTGAATCTTTATTTAAGGCTGTACCTCTCCTGTAACTAATGGAATATGCTACATATAAGTATCTAAAGCTGCTCCTCGGTATCTGATGTAAGATTGAAGACCTTTGCATTAGGCATAGAAATTCTTCCTGTTAAGAACTAGAAAGCATATTTGAAAATCTATGAATCCTTTTTTGAGTGTGTCATCTCAGGAAATGTCCAGGCATCTAGGAATTGGTTCTTGGCTCAATTTTTAACCTATTTAACTTTAATAGTGCTGGTAGCATTGCTCCTAATTTATGTTGGTGTAAGTGAAATCAGAATCAGCCCCTTAGAGAAATCTCTAAATTAGAGGTGAAACTGCTTGCCCCTCAGTTATTGGATATTGAGATAAGGACATGGTAAGTGGGTACCTCAATACATTTTTAATTCCGTTTTTCCCCACAACTTGTCTTCCTACTGTCCCACCTTCCTGCTCTTTGAGCTGATTATGAGTGCACTTGGTTGTCCAATTTATCATAGTCCAGATTAGGAGGTTTGGTTGTGACTGACTGTATCTATAGCACACAGGAGGGAGATAGTGGCAAGTAACTTATGCAAAGTCTTATCAACTCTGGGCTGCATTCAACCTCCAGATCTTGGGTTGAGTAGATTTACTGCCACCCAGGCACAACACAGAGCCTGTCTGCCTTTCCAGACTTTTCCCTGAGGTAGGTTACTTGAGTGAGTAGTTTGAGGAGTGAGAACATCTTTGATGGTTTGCAAATGCTTTCTCTGGTGATAATGCTATGCCTATTTTTTCATTGTGATCTCCCTTGTCCAGGTGATAGATCAGGATAAGAGATTGATGTCATATATCTTGACTTCAAAAAAGCCTTCAATCTGGTATCCCATGATCACCTCTTGGTAAAACTGGCCAATTGTGGCCTTGGGTTCACCATGATTTGCTGGCTGGGAAACTGGCTCCGTGGTCGGACCCAGAAGGTAGTAATTGGCAGAAATCAATCATCATGGTGTCCTGTGACCAGTGGGGTCCCCCAAGACTCTGTCCTTGGACCCATATTGTTCAACATCTTTATTAATGATGTGGACATTGGAGTCAGAAGCGGACTGGCCAAGTTCACCAATGACACCAAACTTTGGGGCAAAGCATCCACACCAGAAGACAGGAGGGCAATCCAGGCTGACCTAGACAGGCTCAGCAAATGGGCGGACGAGAACCTGATGGTGTTTAACGCTGAAAAATGCAAGGTTCTCCACGTTGGGAGGGAAAACCTGCAGCATCCTTACAGGCTCAGCAGTGCTATGCTGGCTAGCACTACGGAAGAAAGAGACTTGGGGGTCGTGACTGACCACAAGATGAACATGAGCCTGCAATGTGATGCTGCGGCTAGTAAAGCGAGCAAAACACTGGCTTGCATCCATAGATGCTTCTCAAGCAAATCCCAGGATGTCATTCTCCCATTGTATTCGGTCTTAGTGAGGCTGCAGTTGGAGTACTGCGTCCAGTTTTGGGCTCAACAATTCAAAAAGGATGTGGAGAAGCTTGAGAAAGTCCAGAGAAGAGCCATGTGCATGATCAGAGGTCAGGAAAACAGACCTTATGACGACAGGCTGAGAGTCATGGGGCTCTTTAGCCTGGAAAAGTGCAGGCTCAGGGGTGATCTGATGGCCACCTATAAGTTTATCAGGCGTGACCACCAGTATCTGGGGGAACGCTTGTTCACCAGAGTGCCCCAAGGGATGATGAGGTCAAATGGTTATAAACTACTGCAAGACCATTTCAGGCTGGACATAAGGAAGAATTTCTTTACTGTCCAAGTCCCCAAGGTCTGGAACAGCCTGCCATCGGAGGTGGTTCAAGCACCTGCATTGAACACCTTCAAGAGTACATTGGATGCTTATCTTGCTGGGATCCTATGACGCCAGCTGACTTCCTGCCCTTTGTTTGGGGGCTGGACTCGATGATCTTCCGAGGCCCCTTCCAGCCCTAATGTCTATGAAATCTTTGCCTAATGTGTTCAATATTTTTAACAAATCAAAATCAATTAACCAACCAACCTATTATGCATGAAAAATGGAAGAAGGGATACCCTTATGTTTTCACCAGTGGTATATTAATATGCTAAAAAAGTGCACTCAAGCTGACTGACTGTTTGCTGGCATAAAGAGCAGAATAATGAAGTAAGTTAGATTAAATTCCATGTTACTTTCTATATTTTTACAGAACCCAGCCAGTGTGTCTACATGTTCATTAATGCGCCATAGTTACGGCGCATTAAATTTTTAGTTTTTGGCTAACCAAGTACTAAATCAATGCATAGTAACTTGCTCTACTGCACAGGTTTTTAGTGACACTTACTGCGCACTAGCCTAATACTACTGCGCAGTAGTAGACACAGTTTGTGCCCGGGAAGCTACTGTGCAGTGTTATTAAGCGACTGTGCAGTTAGCATTTCATGGAGATGTGCCCAGTGAGTAACGTTGAAAGCTAAAGTTACAGGTGGTGAAGTCCCCCTCCTCTGACTGGGCAGCCAGAAAATAAACAGGGAGGTTTCTCACCCCTAATTAGTTTCAAGATAACATTTACAATATTTAAAAATGTATAAAGTTGTATTGTTTGGGTACTGTACTTCAAGAAAGATGTGGACCAAATGGTAAGAGTCCAGAGGAGGGCAACAGAAATGATGAGAGGTCTGGAAAACATGACCAGTATGCAAAGAAGATTAAAAGAACTGGGTTTATTTAGTCTAGGGAAGAAAAGACTGAGGAGTGACATGGTAACAGTCTGTAAGTGTGTAAAAGGTTACTGCAAAAAGCAAACTGTTTTCCCTGTCCCCTGGGAGTAGGACAAAAAAAAAAGATCTTAAATTACAGCAGTGGAGAGTTAAGTTAGACATTAGAGGGAAAAAAACACTGCCTATAAGGATGATTAAGCCCTGGATGATTATGGCATATCCATCACCTGTGTTTTTAAAGAACAAATTAAGCAAACAACTGTCAGAAATGGTTATAACAGATCCTACTGTGGGGAAAAGGATGAGCTCTCAAAGGCCTTCCCAGCCCTATTGCTATGATTCTCTTCAATTCTTATCCTAATAGAATAAGAAACATGCACTATTTAAAGATGACTAATTGGCCTCCAGGGGCTGGTCATGGGCTATAAAGTGGTTAATTCTGAAATTAGTGATTTGCATATAGTCCACAGAGGCATCAATCAGAAGTTTTCATAATGCAATCACAGTTGGGAAACAGATGTAAATGAAGATCTCACTTGCTCTCTATCAGCTTGCGTTAACAGGCATTCTTGGTTCAGGAACTGAATGTGCATGGAAATTCAGCTCAAACCTTTTGTAGCTGGACATGACCCTTCCAACCCAAAACTGAGGCTGCTTTTTTGAGCTTGTGAGAGGTCTTCACTGCCTGTCCAGCACATTCATTAGCATTAGTGTTTACTATTGAAAAAAAATTCCAGCAAAGACCAAATTGCCCTGAACAGGAGTTTCTTAAGTTTTTTTTTTTTTTTCATTAGGCCCCTTTACACATTACACTTAAGGTGTGATTAACCAGATAATTATGCCTTAAGCTGTGACCCAGCTACACATTCAACTAGTTAACAGCATGATTCACACACACAGATAAAACAAGCAATAAGCTACAAAGTTATTTTCCAAAAAATATTTAATAGCTTTTTATAGCTTGGTCTAATCATGCCATTAATTGGATATGTGGCTGAGTGCATCCCTGCGGCTGGGAGTCCCACTAACTGTGGGGCTCCCAGCCACAGGGGAGAACCACACAGTGCCAGCCCTTCAGCTGACGACCTGCAGTGGTGGCAGCATTTCTTCTGTCAGCTGTGGGGCGTGCAGTGGGGAGAGCACGGCTGCCCTGTGATCCACCCTGGCTATGGGACTTGTAGCAGGGGCCGTGTCTTCAGCTGCAGGGCTCACAACAGGGGCAGTGGGGAGAATGCTGCTGGGATCTTCATGCAGTATAGGGCTCACAGTGGGGGCAGTGTGGGGGAATGCTGCCCCTACTGCAAGCCCCACATGAAGATTGCAAAGGCAGTGTCATTCTTTTTGCTGCTTCTGTGAGCCCCCCAATAATGTGGGCTGTAGGGTTCACTGTGGAGGCAGTGCAGGAAACGCTGTCCCTGCTGCAAGCTACACTAGGCCCCATCAACTGCAGGACTTACAGCCATGGAAGATGATACAGGAGAACCTGGGATTGTGATGGTATGGCAGGAGGCACAATTGCGTAGTTCACACAATAGATCCCGTTGCACTTTTACTGGCATGTGTAGAGGGACTCTGAGTGATCATCTTCTCTATCACCAGTGGTCAGAGAATGTATTTGTGGCATCTACAACAGCTGTTTATATGCGAATATGCTATTAGGAAAGCATTCAA